TATATATATATATATGTGGTCTGGTGATATACAGCCCAGGCTGGCCTTGAATACTACCTCAGCCTCTTGAGTGCTGGGATTACAGGTATATGCCATCATGCTCAGCTCTGACATATATATTTTAAAACCTTCTATTTAAACACATGTAGTACTGAATACTTAAAATGTGACTTATCTGAAATGAAGTATGTAAGTATAAATGCACACCAGATTTGGATGACTTTTACAAAAAGAAAGTGAAATATTTTAAATAGATGGTATTTTTAAAATTAACTCCACTTTAAATCTTTATAAATACAGCTAATAGAAGATTTTTTAATTATACATATGGCTTATGTTATATTTCTGTTGGAAGGAACTGTTCTTTACACCATGAGTCTCCTCACTAAAATCAAAGTAGACAAAGTAGGTCTGCTAATGTTCGAATCCCCCAAACTGCTAAAAACATACCAATATGCTGAACTTTCTCATCAATGGCCTCACAGTGGTATGGCCACCATGTTGGGCTCAGTGACCGGAAGAGGAGACACCATATAAATCTCGTGGTTCCCGGAGGTGTGGCACCCACCTTCCTAGCTGACATTCCAATAGTATCTGTGTAGTCTGAGGGAAGAACAGGTCACCAGTAGAATCAGCTGAAAGAGATTCAAATACAATCATGAGTGATCAGAAGGAAAACCCTGATTCCTTTGTGTTTCATATAGTTCTTTTCAACACTAATTTATGTGCATGTATAGTACCATTTTAACTATTTAACAATTTACATCACTTTAAATAAAAATATAAATGAAATTTTGTGAAAATGCTCTTCATAACAACTGAAAACATTAATCTATATACTACTATACACTGACTTCTTACCAATACTCTAAAAATGTCTGTTTCTTCCAGATTCTAGCAAATTATCTACATTTGACTTTTTTATACGTGTATATGTATGCTTGTGTGTATGCAGTGTACATGTGTGTGGATGCCTGTGTAAGCCAGAGGACAACCTCAGGTATCATCCTAGGAACACTGTCCACCTCCTTTGAAACAGGGCATCTCACAGGCCTGGAGCTCACCAAATTGGCTAGACTGGCTATCCAGGGTGCCCACAGAGCTCCTGTCTCAGACCTCTCCAGAGCTTAGATTACAAGTGCATACCACCATGCCTGGCATTTTTATGTGGGCTGAGCTCAGGTCCTCATGTTTACAAAAGAGGCAAGCACCTTACCATCTGAGCTATCTCCCAAAGCACTGCATTTGACTTCTTAGCCATACTAATTCTCTAATGAGTTAAATACAGCTGACTATAATTCTTCACCATTTATTGGAACTGTATTCCCAAAGGTGCCTAGTGATCTCTTAGTCACAAGTTTTTCTTAGCTCTTTCTCATTCTATGTCGACTGTGTGATCCAACCTCAGAAATGTGATTCATTTAGAGTATCATGGACCTGTCCTCAGCAGGTAGTGCACTGGTTCTGTCACTGTATGAGATTGTTTAGTATCAGTCTGATGTGAAATTCCTTCTAAGTTCATTTCCCTTTTTTATGCTACTACAGAACCTGTGAACTAACTTCTAGGGGCTTTCCACAGGATCCAAATAAGTTCTCTGTTCCACTTCAAACAATGAAACACTTTCTTTGCCTTGCCTCTGAATTCACTAAGTTTTTCCCTCAGGCGGCTTAGGTGGCACCTCCAAACTGCTTCCTGTTTTGAGCTGCCCAATTGTAAACTACTGTTGCTCCAGTTATCACCTTAAAACTTTAATGTGGGGCTGGAGAGATGGCTCAGTGGTTAAGAACATTGACTGTTATTGCAGAAGACCCAGGTTCAAATCCTAGTACCTACATGGCAGCTAACAACTGTCCGTAACTCCAGACCCAGGAGACTGACAGCCTCTTCTGACCTCCATGGGCATTGCACAACACAGGTGCCCTGACCTACATGCAGGCAACACACAAATACACATAAAATAAAATAATAAGCTGGGTGTGGTGGTGCATGCCTTTAATCCCAGCACTAAGGAGGCAGAGGCGGGTGGATCTCTGTGAGTTCAAGGCCAGCCTGGTCTACACAGTGAGTTCCAGGCCAGCTGGGGCTACAGGGAGACCCTGTCTCAAAAAGACCAAAATAAATAAATAAATAAATAAAAATAATAAAATTAAAAACAAAAACTTTAATGTGTCAAAGTTTACATTTTAATAGGCTTTACTCAAATTGGAACATCTTAAACATTAGTGCTTTAGAATTATTTTGATGTGGTTATCAGTATTCATTTGTGGCTCTTTTCTAATAATAAATCACAAAAGTCTTCCCTACAGTACATAGTACAATATATAATTGTACAATATATAATTGTACTGTGATCTCTTTAATAATTTTCCTATTGCTGAATATTCAGATTGTTTCCAACTTTTCAAACTATTTTTTATTGAGCTTTTTAAATTTCATATAACATTTCCCACTCAAATCTGTTTCCAACTTTTGACTCAAGTTTAGAGTATATGTCCTAACATATACCAAACTACCACATTTAAAGCTACTATAATTTCCAACGTGACAGTGACTCAGGAATAGTAAGTGATAAATGGTACAGCCTTGAGTCCAGGGATGGAAAGATAAAGTTTAGTATATGATAAAGCTATTATATCAAATACATGGCAAAAGTGAGACTTCAAATCAGTTGCAAAATGGACAAGTTTCAGTAAATAATGTTAGTGCTTATAAAATGGCATGGTTGGGGGCTGGAGAGATGGCTCAGTGGTCAAGAACACCGGCTGCTCTTGCAGAGGTTCAATCCCCAGCACACACGTGGTGGCTAACAACCATCTGTTAACTCCAGTTCCAGGGGATCTGATGCCCTCTTCTGACCTCCACAGTCATTGCATTACACAAGTGTATTTATATACATGCAGGCATACACTTATGCAAATAAAATAAATAAAACATAAAAATAAAAAAATAAAAAGGCATGATAGTCATTTTGAGTGGTTTGAATGTGAACCACCCCCATAGGCTCAAGTAGTTGAACACCTGGTATATGGCCTCGGTGTGGCACTGTTTGTGGAGATGTAGGAGGTGTGGCCTGGCTGGAGGAAGTATGTCCCTGGGGGCCAGCTTTGGCAGTTCATAGCCTCATCTTACTTCCAGGTTTGCTCTCTCTCTGCTTCCTGTATGTGCTTGAAGATGTGAACTCTCAGCTTTCTGCTCCTGTTGCTTCCTGCCACGCTCCTCACCCCCATCATTATGGACTCCCCCTCTGGAACTGCAAGTCCAAATAAACTCTTCTGTAAGGTGCCTCTGTCATATTGTTTTTATCACAGCAACAGAAAAGTAACAACAGTAGCTATTTATGAATTAGAATATAAAATCTATGCATGAGAGAAGTTCAACGTCAAAAATCAAATCAGACAAGTACTTAAAATTTTTTCGATGAGCATATTCATGACGTTGAGTAGGGAAGGCCTTTTAATTTAAATAAGATGAAAAACGAGGAGTCACAAACAAATACTGATAAACCCAACCACGTCAAAATAATTCTAAATGATGGAAGCAACATAAGCAAAATCAAAGGAAGACAATGAACGAGAAATTCATAACAAGGAATATAAACAGACAATAAGCCTATGAAATCTTTCTCAACTTCTCTAGCAATATGCCAGCTAAAACAAGGAGTTACCTCCTGTCTTCCCTTAGATGGCAAAACAAAAGAAAAGGAGCCGCAGGGAAAATTTCACAAAACAGCGCTACAAAATTTCTGTGTGCATGCATGTGTGTATACACGTACACTTTATTTACAAATATATAATACATACATGTGCACACATATATACTTGCAAAGAGAAAATCTAGAAAGATACATACCAACTTAGGAATAGAAGTTATCTAAAAAGTGAAGATTTGTTTTAAATAGTGGCCAAAAAGACAGATAATAAAGTCCTTAACTTTTAAAAATTATTTTATTTAAGGCGGGCATGGTGGCACACATCTTTAGTCCCAGCACTCAGGAGGCAGAGGCAGGCAGATCTCTGTGAGTTCAAGTCCAGCCTGGTCTACATAGTGAGCTCCAGGACAGCTTGGGCTACAGGGAGACCATGTCTCAAAAAGACCAAAAAATTTTTTTATTTATTATTTTATGTTTATGATTGTATTGCCTGCATGTAGGTAGGCGCACACGTGCTGTGCGATGCCTGTGGAGGTCAGAACAGGGCATCAAATCCCGTGGAATGGGAGTTAAGGAGAGTTGTTAGCCACAACGTGGGTGCTGGGACTCAAACCCGCGTCCTCTGCAAGAGCAGTCAGTGCTCTTAATCGCTGAGCCATCTCTCCAGCCCCTAAAGTCCTTAACTTTAATACTGGAATAGCTGTATCTGTAATGGATATGTAAATATTTACTGGAATATTTTAGAATTTGACAGTACAAATGTATAAAAGTTTAAAAATCAAGTATGTATCAAGATGCCCATATACATGCAAATGAATAACTTAAGAAAACTTTATGAAAGTATACTTCATTTAAATGAATATATATTTCCAACATATTGCACTCATTATAACTTAGATCCTTCAGCATTTATTCCTTTAAAGAAAAAGAGTTCCTTAAGAGATGACAAGGTAAATTCTTCTTTTTTTTTTTTTTCAGTTTTTTTGAGACAGGGTCTTCCTGCAGCCCCAGCTGACCAGGCTGGCCTCAAACTCACAGAGCTCCTCCTGCCTCTGCCTCCCAAGTTCTGGGATTAAAGGTATGTGCCATCAGGTTAAGCAAAGTCCTTTACAAAGTAATCACTGCTTCCACTTCGTTTTTTTTAATTAAAAAAAATTATTTAAAAAATTTATTTTATGTGTATGCATGTGTTGCCTGCATGTAGGGCAGTGCACCTATGTCATGCAGTGCCTGCGGAGGTCAGAAGAGACTGTTGGATTCCCTGGGACTGGAGTTAGGGACAGTTGTTAGCCACCATGTGGGTGCTGGGATTCGAACCCGGGTCTTCTGCAAGAACAACCAGTGTTCTTAACCACTGAGCCATCTCTCCAGCCTCTTGTTATTTTTAAATATACATCAGGTTTACCTAAAACCACCTGAAAAGTTTAAACTCCAAAGTAGATATTTATCTTTCTTCTTTTCTACCAGAATAATCATTACTAAATCTGGATTGTTTTTCTGTTTCTTCAGTTTACTTTTTGCCCACCCAAAGTCTCATGATAAAAGGGAGGAAAATGTATATAGAAGAAATCAAACCTGTTAGTAGTGTACACTGATGAATGTCATCACTTACAAATTGCACAAATGTATCTTCATCCTGAAACAAGAATCAAAATCCAGAGCTTTTTTTTTTTTCAAACAAACCCCACAACATCTAGCTTAGTATCTGGGACTGCCTTTAATCCTCAATAAGTGAGAGAATCCAGTGATTATTTTGGGGTCTTGGCCTCAAAGCAGTAGCCCCAATACACTGAAATCTTAAGGTTTGCATCTTTATTCCTTTATGATCATGGCCAACTGTAGAGAAGGAATGGCGTTTAATGATTCTTGGTATACTTGAGAAAACAAATTTAAGAACAAGAACAACAAAGAAACACAGCCATCGATGTAGAGGGCTATACATCACTTTGGGGTGCTCATTTTGAGACTTTATACTTTAATAAATCTGAAGGAACTCTCTCGGAAATATGTACTAGAACCAGACAAAATAATTTTAAACACTACACCCCTGCCCTCTCTTACTCTTCCACATCCTTTACTTGTGGTATCAGAGCCACATTAACCTATTATGGTTATACACAGGAGGGTTGGGAAGCAAGTAGCTCTAACGTTATGCATATTATACTGTAACCTGATTAGCACATATAAGGAAGTCAGTGGATAAGAATTATAAAAGTAAAATTCCAATGGTTCAAAACGTATGTTTTAATAATATTCAACATAATCTTAGGGAAAATATTTTCAAGAAAAAAAAAAAACAATTCTTTCTAGGGAGGGCATACTACACACAATAATAGCTTTGGAATCATTTTTTTCCTTACTTCAATTTCTACATTTTACTTGGGAATATATACTTTTTAATACATTTTATCTCAAATTATGTAAAATGAGAAAAGCATATGGATTCATCGTCATCACTGAGAGTTCTGTCTGAATAGTCTTCCTTTTCTGAATCTTCTGACATCTCTTCCAGTGTTTGCCTTGAAATTTCTTTTATGATGTGTGTAGGTTGTAAAACAATTCTAAGGAACTTACTGGATGGCTTTTAAGTTGAAGGTGCTTTCTATGTTAAATGAGTACTCAAAAATATATTCAATTGTATTTAATTAACAGTGAACAAATCTCTAAAGAGTAAAACAAGGATATACGTTATTTAAACCTTCAGGTTCAAAGGTTTGAAAAAACCATCCATTACTACAAGACAAAATCGAAATAAGACAATAATTGAAAACTTCCAGTGCACAGCCGAATCATTTATATTCTGTATTTACAAACACTACACACTGATACCAAGTTCAGGATTTTCCTAAGGCATAAAAAATGACAAAGCAAGAAGAGTTATGATTACTTATTCCAGCAATGAAATGTAGCTATAGTTTTTTCTCTTCATCCTCAACTTTCCATGGGCCCAAAGTTCCAGTATCTACAACTGAATTTCCTCTTTGATGACTATTCTATAGCTAACTGTTCTAAATTCAACTGCATAACTTGCACCGATGTCAACAGCACCTGAAGATAAAGGGATGACCACTACTGCCTCTACCCAACGGAATAAAGGAAATTCCAAGATTTTCAACTT